ATGTCAACACTATCAAAAAATATAGGCAAAATAGTTTGTATATTTTTTATTCAAGTATGAAATATACAAGCATATTTTTTTTAGAAAACACAATACTGTTGCAATTGTAAAAATAATTTGCATATTATTTGCTTATATCATGAAAATATTTCTAGATATTGTTTCAAAAACTTTTCCAAAATTTAAAATTCATACATTAATAAAAATACGATAAATATAAAATTCGTTCAACGCACGTAATAGTGAGCAGCATTGATATAAATGTGCGTGAACATGGTGTTTCGGTTGGGGGCGTGGGCGCTAAACTGTACCCCCAGTGTACTAAATTTAAGGGGTACAACTCCCATTACAGATATTACTAACTAGAGCAGAAATAATAAAATTTAGGCAAAGCATAAAGTGGAACAACAACCTAAGTCTATTTGTGCCATCTAACCCACGGACTTCTAGCCCTGTCCAGCCTGCAATGCCTACTCCACTACTAGTAGTTTGTGCAATAGTAGCATATCAAAAACAGAACTGTAAAATTATTTGTCGTTGTGGCCTAATCTCAGTTGGAACTATGAATTTATTTAATAATTTCAAGTATCTTTTCTGATAATTTGTTTTATTTTGTGGTGGGATGGGGATTTGAAAGAGGGCTTTTAAATTGCTTGACAGTCAGTTATTTTAAGTAAAAACCATGTTATGCTGACACTTCAGATACGTGTCTAACATGACTTGAAATTTGACGACATACGTGTTTGGACCTTCCAAGATGGACATGAATACTTGCTAAGTGTACTAAAACACTGTTTCAAAATTATAATTTATTAATTAAACTACAGTATGCCTCTTCTTGTATATCATTTTTTCCATTTTCAGTTATATTTTCAAATGCTACCGAACCTGTAAATCTTTTTGTCCAATGCTGAGGAAGTCCAGATAGCCTCAAGTTAATTGGGCAAATTGCCCTTGAAAATATGTGCAAGGCATTTGATTTGTTTTCCTTCTCGTATTGTAATGTTCTTGTATAAATATTTCAAACCTTATAAAAAATTGTTTTTTCTCTGTTGGTGAGCTGTTGTTTTGTTTAATCAATTCGAGGCAATCTTTCAGATGGTCTGCATCATGTTACCTTCATCTGCAGAATGTACAAGCTTGTTTGGCTAAGCTTAAAAGTTACTTTTCTAGAAGCAAAGTTTTGTTATCTTTACTCCTTTCAAATGATCAAACGTTGATTTTAGCTTTTTATTTTTTATTTTCACGAGCATGCTAATCTTTTATCATTTGACAACTCAAAACCCAATTATTGTGAAGTGTAAAATATCTGATAAATATTCTATATTACTTGCCTTTTACGCTTCAAGTTCCACTTGTCAAAGTTCAAGTTTTAAATTATTCAACAAAACCTGATGCATAAGATTAAGTGAATTTTTATTTCTTTGTATCTCTGTTCCCGATTTATTTATAACCGTCAACAGAAAATGTTACATATCGGAAATCGAGGCTACCCAAAATAGGAACCGTGAGAATGTCGTAATTTATAATAATATTCAACCTCAAAAAGTTATTCAAAAAGAATTCAGTTTTCAAGAATTTTAATTCCCGGAATTAAGGACATGTTTGGTACTAATTTTTAGAATTAATTTTTTAACTATCAGAGATAAAAGTTGATTTCAACAGTGAATGAAGAAATAAAAAATGATGGCTCATCATGTTAAATAATGATAAAAAAATTGATTTTTTAACTTGAAAAATAAGAACAAAAAAGTGCTAAAATTGAAAAATTACAGCATAAAAATTAATATAGTATTTGGATCAGTCAAAGAAAGGATTTCTCCCATCCTAAATTGATTGTCTGTGACTGTAAGCATCGCTTTCTGCAGATTGTAATCTGATCCTATTTCAATTCAATTCCAACAAAATGGTTTTCAAAATTTACATCCAATTACTTCTCCAAATAGTTCTCACCACCCTCCAATCCCACTCCGCCACTTCACGCCTCTCCATCCTCCGATCCGATCACCAGAACCTCCGTCTCTCCTTCTCCGTCGTTGACTTCGGCGCCACCGGAAGTGGCAACCACTATGACACCATCCCTATCCAATCCGCCATCGATGCCTGTGCCGCCGCCTCCACCCTTCATGGCTCTCGCTGCCATGTCACCTTCCCACCCGGCAATTACTTAACTGCCACACTGCACTTGAAATCCAGGGTCTTTTTGAATATCCAAAAAAACGCCACAATATTGGGCGGCAGTAGATTGGAAGATTACCCTGAAAAGCAAGAAAAGTGGTACGTGGTGGTGGCGGAGAATGCGGTGGATGTCGGGATAACTGGCGGCGGGGAGATTAATGGGCAGGGGTGGAAATTTGTGGACAGATTTGATGAGAAAAAGAATGTGATGGTGAGTTGGAATAAGACTGGTGCGTGTTTGGGGGATGAGTGTAGACCCCGGCTAGTCGGATTCATTGGTTGTCGGAATGTTGAAATCTGGGACTTGAAACTCCACGAACCAGCTTATTGGTGGTATGTCTACTTTCACTTTACCCAGTCTTTGATTGTTCATGGGTATGTTTCTAGTACTTTGGATCGGATAAGGTTTTGCCATGGTCGCTTTCCCCGAGATGGTGTTGCTGTTATGAAGATAGCAAAACGTGCTATGAATTCATCATTTCTTTGATTTTGTTTTCAGAGTAACGTTATTTAGCACTATTAGCGTCAAGCATCAATTTAGGTAACAACTGCATGACATTAAATGATATATTCACTTAACCACAATGTTATTTAATTCATTTAATTGAACACTAGATAATATTATTCTAATTTTTAAATTACTTGTTACTCATAATTGAGGATCCCTAACAACTTGAACTTTGTCCACCTATAATTCTTGTGACTGTAGCCTCAAAATATTAGAAAAAGTGCATGCCATGTCCATCTCTTATGGTTTATATAGCCTTTGATCTCTCAACTGAGCCAGCTCAAGCATGTTAAAGTAGTTGATCGTGGGTGGCGACGGAGATAGGCAAGTTAAAACTCGAGTACTAAGTCCTAATAAATGGCCAAAGAATACTGCATTTTTTGTTGTCATAGATTACACTAGTTTTTGCTTTTCCAGTTCTATTATCCCAATTGCTAACAGGTTGTGTGATATCACAGCTTGCATATTGTTCGCTGTGACAACACGTCAATTCATGACATTTCAATATATGGAGACTTTAACACGCCTAATAACGATGGTATGGATATTGACGATTCAAATAATACACTCATCACAAGATGCAAAATCGATACAGGAGACGATGCCATATGCCCGAAAACATACACCAGTCCCCTCTATAATCTTACTGCAACCAACTGTTGGATTAGAACAAAGTCTTCAGCGATCAAACTTGGCAGCGCTAGTTGGTATTCATTCAAAGGTTTGGTGTTTGACAACATCACGATTGTGGAATCTCATCGAGGGCTGGGATTACAAATACGAGATGGAGGTACATGGTTCTGTTTCACATTCTTCTGTAATCAACTTCTATTTCATGACCATCTTAGGGTGTTTCTTGATAACCTGATGCCTGGTAGTATATTCCTTTCGAATATGGTTGTTTGTTATTTATGCCTTTGTTTAATTTTAGAAGCATATTGATATCAAGATGCTAAGACCACTCTTACCTTCTGAAAGCCTATTAGTTCAGGACTATCGTTACCAATTCTTCCCGGCTTAAATCTTTTCTCTTAAACTCCATTGGAAGTCCAACCATTGAGTACCTTGGTTTTATGACTAATGAAATTTACAAAATTTTGCCGTTGATGGTCTGTCTTACAGATAATTTGTGCCTTTGCAGGGAATGTTAGTGACATTATTTTCTCGAACATGAATATCAGCACGAGATATTATGATCCCTTGTGGTGGGGTAGAGCCGAGCCTATCTATGTGACTACTTGCCCAAGAGATGACAGTTCAAAAGCAGGCTTCATCTCTAATCTCCAATTTGTGAACATTACAGCAACTTCTGAAAACGGTATCTTCTTATCAGGATCCAAAGGCGGAGTCCTTAGCAATCTGAAGTTCGTTAATGTGAATCTGACTTACACAAGGTGGACCAACTATGCAGATGGCCTCATAGACTACAGGCCGGGTTGTCAAGGGCTCGTCAATCATAGCACCGCGGGGTTCATGATGGAGCATATCGACGGTTTGGATATTGAAAATGTAAAGATGATATGGTCTGAGGAGAGAACCGGGCAGTGGAATAATCCATTGGAATTTCGACCATCGACAGTGAATAATATCTCTTTGCTAAATTTCTATTCGGGATTGTACAAACGAGGATTAAGGCTGGATAGAGACTTAAAAAATGTTCAATTGGCAGAATAAACCGGGGCAGATTGTCGCGTGCTTGAACGCTGATGCATTATTCAAAACTGTTTTTCAGCAGAGAAAATTTGCACTATGAGAAGGCTGCATTTCATTTCAAGTTGTTCTGTTGATAATCGTATTCATGTCATAAAATCTTCATGACAATAGAAATGAAGCATTTGTTTTCTCCAGAATTATGAAAAACAAACCATGAATTCCAACTTGGATTACCAATTCTTCAACGTTAAGTTTATTTTGTTATACCTATTTGATTCCTAGATCTTAATTTACTGTTTGAATGTTTGACATGCTAAAATGAACGCAGACGGAAAAGATGGAAGACGGAGAACAAGTAAACATCTCGTTTGACACTATATATCAAAGTTTGGATGTTCAGACTCTACTGACCAATGTTGACTGGTCTATTTATCCATGTACCAAAGTAAAACAAGCAATCAGCCAAATATGAACATAAAACTCCCAAACATAACAATCCAAGCTATTGTCACAAATTTTGGTTCACACAACGTCAAAATTCATATGCCTTCTAACATGTTTGCAGACCGCATTTTTACAGGAAAGAAAACTACGTCTAAGAGACATCATACCTTTATACTTGGAGAAATCTACGTGGAGGGCTATTGGGGACAAGAAACAATTGAACAACTTTGAAAATGGTTTGTCAAAAGCACGAGAGCTGATATCACGGTGACAAAATTCTGCTACAGGGTTCTGTTTTAAAGGCACAGTACAATACAATAAAAATTCGGCATATATGATCAAAATCAGCTTCCAGAGACTACATAAACATACGTTGTTACACTAATTTTGTTCACCAATAGATTTTCCTGTCTTCACTAAATACTTCATGCCTAGAGAAAAAATTTGCACCAAGATGCTAAGAGAAGTCCGATATTCATTTGTATATGAGGGCATCACGTCCTGGCCCAATTCCAATGTAGTGAATGGGTATACCAACGAGTTCTTCTATTCTTTCGACATACTGACGTGCAGCATTTGGCAGTTCAGAGTACTTTCTGATGGAGGAAATATCGCACTGCCACCCAGATATAACTTCATATTCCACCTAAACATACAGAAGATAGCAATATCACCAAGAGAACCATATATAAAATTAGCAAATTCAGAACTGTACGGAGAGAGAGCAGTTAGCAGAGATCACATAAGTATCTCGGAATTCCTAGTACAGAACTCAATAAAAATCTATAATAATAATTATCTGCTACCAATGACTATATCTGACATTCGTGACTGCCATTTGAGCGCATATGGGGTCTTGAGGGAATGAGAATCAGTAAAATTGTACATTTGAGGTGTTCTTTCTTATATGTTGGGCATAAAATTCCCTGAGTTCCACCCTTTTAACTTAAATTAAGGAGAGCCTTCAGAAAATCACAGGCCTAAAATACAAATGAAAAAATTAAAGCTTGCCTTGATTTGCTCCAAAGCACAAAGATCTGCAGGGAATGATTGGATTGGTATACCATCAATTTGTTTGTATGAAACACCCAGCTGAATTTCTGGTAGCTCTGACAAGACATCAAGTTTGGTAAGGTTCAGAGAGGAGAAGCCATTTATTTGACAGCAGTACTTCAGTGCAACTATATCAAGCCAGCCACAACGACGTGGACGACCAGTTGTTGTGCCAAACTCCTGTCCAGCAAATCTAAGTAGGTCACCACATTTACCCAAAATTTCTGTTGGGAATGGACCAGAACCAACTCTTGTAGTGTATGCTTTGACCTGCATTATACATTGCCAATTGAGAACAAAAACTTTCAGTCTAAACAGTTCGCTAAATGAATTAACAGGACAAATGACACATGGTTTTACTACAACATTTGCAACCTGTTTCATCTCATTGGAATGCATTTCTGAGTAACATGTGTCAAAGCCAATCACAAAAGGATACTCAGGCAACAATTTTCACTAAAAAGCACTTTGGCTTTCATGTTGAAATGGATGTATTGGTAAAATTCAAGCTTCAGCAGTCACAAAGGGAGGGATTAATTTGTAAGGAAAGAAAACCACTTACCACACCCACAAGATCACCAACAACTCTTGGAGCGATGCCAAGACCTGTGCATATTCCTCCAGCTGACGGACTAGAGGAAGTTACAAAGGGATAAGTTCCAAAATCGACATCTAACATAGTTGCCTGACCACCTTCAACTAGTATCTTCTTTTTTCGAGAGAGAGCATCATTCATGAAATGCACGGTATCAGTGATATAGGGTTCCAACCTCTCAGCAAATCTCATGTATCGTTCAACTTCTTTCCTGAGCATGTCAGGGCCATAGTTAAAACCTTGGAATCTTGAAGCTGCATCTGACAATAAAAGATCAAGCTTCTGAGGGAAAGTATCCATATGCCTCAAGTCGCTTACTCTTATGCCATTCCGGATAACCTTGCTTGAATAGCAAGGTCCAATGCCTCTTCTAGTAGTTCCAATGAAGGATTTAGCAAGTTCAGCTTCTCTAAGCCCATCAACTTCTTGATGAAAATCAAATAGCAAGTGAGCGCGATCAGATACCAATATCCTTCCTTTGCAAGAGACGCCATTAGATTCCAGGCCATCGATTTCTTTGAAGAATCCAGGCAGATGCACCACGACCCCATTACCAATTACACAGACAGTATCCTCGTTGAGAATGCCAGAAGGAACAAGGTGAAGCGCAAACTTTTTGCCTTCTGAGTTATAAATAGTGTGCCCAGCATTAGATCCACCCTGCCATCAAATAATTTTGAAGGCTCCAAAATATTAGCAGGAAAAGAATATGGAAAAACAGAAATTCAAGACAATTTGCTGTGTCAATAACGACAATATTGGGTGACCTGTTCACAAGCTCTATCTACTGATGCAATTAGGGAAACATTTTCTAGAGGATGGAAAATCAAGCCCCCGTTTGGTAGCAATTTTTCACCACAAAGAATTGATTTTTTGACCGTTGTTTCACTATTTCAATCGTCATTTTTGACTTATTCACTCACAGGTAGAATCCATTTTTCTTTCTAACGGTCAAAAAATCAATTCTCATAATCACTACCGAATAGAATCCAAGTGTCCACTATACTAATTTCAAATATTAACTCTCTCTCTCATAATCATATGTATGGAGAACAAAATTACTCCTTCAGTTTGTATTTAAAATAGCAAAAAAGAAATTTTATCTTAAGTAATTGGCATATAACAATAAAAAACTACAACATCATGTTTCATTTCTCATAAGATAGGGCATTGGGTATGGTAAAATACACTAACAGCGAAGTCACACTTCCTTCTCTATAATAGAAGCTTCAACAGGTTACAGGTTGAAGAAAGTATATTCCAGGGGAAGCATTTTTGTAGAATATTATTCAATTTAGTTCTAACAGAAGAAAATTTCGACCTCTACCTTAAACTATTATCAAAACTTACTAATCAAGCTACTAATAAAATTTGCAAAAGTATTAACGACTTTCAGAAAGTAAATAAGTAATTTTACTCGACCCAATGCCATGTGTGTGACTATGGAGCTTCCACGTGGACCTCATTGAGAGCATTACTTATGATCATACCTAATTTTCACATGAATGCTCGCAAATTAGACTTGGAGGACTATAATGTTACCTCATACCTCATAAAAATATATATATATATATATATATATATATATAAGTCCTATGTATCACATGAATGTATACATAGACTTGAGTGACTATTGTTGTTGATCATAAGTAATGCTCTCAATGAGGTCCACATTGAAGTTCCATAGTCACACACGTGGCATTGGGTCGAGTAAAAGAAGAGTCATAGACGAGGTCAACGGCCAAGGTTGTTGCATTGAGCGCCGAGGTCATTTAACTAGAATTCTCCCAAGTGGTCCTAGCCTATGTTCATCCGAAGTGGGGTTACTTCCTTCGGCCGAACCCCATAGCTTCCGAAGTCCTTGACGCCCAGAAGAGTGTCTATTAAGTGTATCTTAGGGATTGATTGATGTGACATTCTTATTAAATACTTGTCAGGAATGTCAACCTAGAGATGTAAAATGGCTGACTCCTTGTCAAATGTAATTAATGTGAGGTAGAGTTGATATGACGCCAGGGTCTAGCAGGTCAGACTACATGAATTGAATCCATCGGTAACCACGTCGGCCAGATTAGTATAAATGGCTGATTCTTGTATCATTGCAAAGCATGGATCTTTGAAAAAAAAGAAAACATTATATATATTTCTCCATACAAGATTGTCCATTGCTCCCGTCTTCTTCTTCTACAAATATATTCATTTCCGGTCAACATATTACAAAACACGTCCACGTCTATATTGTCTTGACACCTGTTGGCCATTTTCTGAGGCCAACGAGTAATGTAATGTTAATAATGACTTAGAAATCATCATGTAATTAAAATGTACAACATCCCAATGTTCATGTGTGTATGTGTATGTGTGTACCTGACACCGAGCCACAATGTCGAAGTGCTTTGCGAGGATGTCTACGAGCTTTCCTTTGCCTTCATCACCCCACTGGCAACCCAGCACGCCAGAGACCTGACTCAGTGACTCGATTCGATTCAGTTCCGAGTCGGACTGGTTTACTCGAGAAGCAGTTTTACCCAACGCGCAAACAACATCGAATCTCTTGAAATCAATAAAATTCCTCTGCAACTGCGGCTGGTTGTGGGGGAAAACGTGAGGATGGGATTGAGACCGGGCGAGATTGTGGGGCCCAACGAAGATGGCGTTGGAATCGTATCTGAGAGATGAGAAGTTCATAGTGACGGTGCTGGTATTTCAAAGAATTACGCTTTTGAGGGCCGGCCGGTTCTAAAAGAAAAGACAAAAAAGACAAAAATAAATTCTTGCCTTCAGCCTCAGGTTCATCACTCCACTGGCAGCAATTAGGGTGAAAAAAAAAAAAAAAAAGGAAAAATCGATTAAACCAAATTGAGTCACTTGGGGGTTGGTTAGAACCAAAAAATTGATTTAATTCGATTAATTTTGACTCATTAAAAAGTGGAGTTGAATTGGTTTCGGTTTAAACAACCAACCCATCAATTACTCAACACTACCTGCTAATACATTTTTTTTAATTTTAAAATTCATCTTTTTAAACTTAAAATAAAATAATAAAAATAAAAATAAAAATATAATTGTTTCTCTGATAACTTGTTTACCGTCTACGCTTCTTCTAATATAACTCCAAATTTCAAAAGACGAGAAAGGAAGAAGAAGAAGTATTTTTTGTTAACTTTAAATTTAGGGGGTGTTTGTGCCCCACTATTTGTGAATTATTATAGAATAGTGATTAATTTTGAAATGTGTGGTTAAAAAAAAATTTATTTATGCATAATATTATTTTAATGAAAATGTGTGGTTAAAAATAAGTATTGTACAAAAAATAATGTGTTAGAATGGTAGACAAACAAAATCTTAGATTATAACATTACTTTTTATTTTGGTATAATTATTTGTTGGTAAATATTGAATATTTAATATTTAGGATGATCTTGAAAAAATTCGACCATTTTCAATTTACATTATATATATTATTGACATGCTCTACGAAAGCAAAAAATATACATGTATAAGAAAACAAAATTGGCAGGCAAATTTTTTTTTTACTCGCACCATTCAAATCTATTAACCAAATCTAATAGACCCAAGCTGATTTTGTTTGGTTTCAACGGTTGGGCCCAGATAATTGCAAATTAATTAGGGTCCCGATTTTAACAAGTTGTGCTGCCTTGGAACCAGATGACCCAACTAGGGATGGTAGTGGGCCGAGTCGAGTCGATTCGACTCGTTAATCCACGAGCTCGGTTTGGGTTCGTGCCAAATGACCCAACTAGGGATGGTAGTGGGTCGAGTCGAGCCGATTTGACTCGTTAATCCACGAGCTCGGTTTGGGTTCGTGGCTCGTTTTTCACGAGCCGAGCTCGGCTCGTTGCTTGTGGGCGAGCTCGTGGGCCGAGCCCAGCCGAGCCTACGAGAGGCTCGCGAGCTCGTGAATTTTTATTTTTATTGCACATTTTTCAAATTTTATTGATAAAATTTTATTTTTTTCCCACATTTTTGGACGAGCCGGCTCGTGCGCGAGCTCGGCTCGTTGGACGGGACCCCTCGCTCGGCTCGAGCGACGAGCCCGAGCAGCCCACGAGCCGAGCTTTGACGAGCCGGCTCGGTCCAATTGACATCCCTAGATCCAACCCAATTTAACACAGTCAAAGAAATCTGAAAAATTCATAAGACAACTTACAAAAATACCCTTAAAATTATGAATCTTTCGAAAAATCATATTAAAATTTTTGGAAGTAATAAATACTGTTTAAAATTAAAAAGTAACACAATGTCACTTTTTTTTTTACAAATAAAAATTGTCAAAAAAATGACACAATGTCACCTTTAAAAGTTTATTTTCACTTTTATATTAAAAAATGACATACAATCTCACTTTTATTAAAAAATGATATTTTTCACTAAAAAAAGGTGATAACTACTTCAAAAAGTAATAAAATTTCAAAAATATTGCAGAAATTAAAAAAAAATGTGACGAATTTAAAAAAGTGACACATTAAAAAAAATTGCACAAATTAAAAAAAAAAAAGACAGAAAATAAAAAAGTGACACAATTTTTTACATTTTCATTGAGCAAACACTTTACATGCATCAATCTAATTAATTCAAAAATTTTCTTTTCACATATATTAATATAAAATAATGTTTGAATTTGTAAGTTCAAATTTTCAAAAAAAGGGACACATATACATCTAGTTAATTGCTCCAATGAGATGATGTGACTTTTTTTTTTTTTTTTTTATAGAAAAAGTCTCACTTTTTCACATTTTCCTTAAACAAACACATTATATGTATCAATCTGACTGATTCAAAACTACCTTTTATGTATTAACATAAATCAATGCTTGAATTTTTATATTCAAAATTTCAAAAATGCACACAGTGTGACTTTTTTTTTAGAAAAGTGATAAAATGTCACTTTTTCACATTCTTCTTTCGTCAAACACTTTGTATGCATCTTGTTACGTGTTGACACACTTGGCCAACTCACTGGGGCCTATGGCACACTCATGTCGGACTACGTGGCACTCCAGCCAAGGTAATATGTATCGTTGAGGCCCACATACCGAGAACACCATGAAAAGGTAGCCGAAGCCCTAAAGCAGAAGTATTATGTGAGTGGCTGAAGCCCTGAAGCCGAAGCAGGAGATCTACATAAGGATCTTGTTTGAATGATTGATGAGACGTTTGTCAGAAGTGTAAATGTTAAGTCTTGTCACTAGTATGAGGATTTTGCATAAGTAATAAATGTGCAGCAAGCTAGCAAGTTAAGAATGATGCCTAGGATTAGATGTTTAAGTTAAAGAGATGATGCCACGTGCGTCCTCATCCAAAGGCCACAATTTCACATGTACTACTATAAATACTTCCCTTATGTAACATTAAAGGGCTAATGCAAGAATCAATACAAGGAACAAAACTTTACTCAACTCTCTCTTATTATCTTGTAATACAATGCGAGTTTACACATTTTTACATGCACATTTACAAATATCGATTGGTAATTATTGTACAATCGGTCTACGAACATCTCGCCGGATTTCGAACGTCTTCGTCCCGCACCGTTGAGCTACTCCCACGCCCTTGATCTGTCCGTTTTAGACCGTCCACGTGTCTGTATGTTGGACTTTCGCTTACGAGTGCGCGGGTGGATCCGGTATCTGTTGGCAACATTTTTTTGGGTCAACAGGTTGGCGCCGTCTTTGGAAAACCATACTATAACCAGGAGCAACAGTGTGGAAGAAGCTTATCGAAAAGAATTTTTAGGCATCCCACTTGAAAAAGGATTTGTTCTTGCAAAAGAACAAATGGAAGCTCCACAACTTAGCAACAATCTGAGATCGGAACAGAAGAGAATGAGTTCAGACGAAGATGTACACCCTAGGAAGGTAAGAGAAAATGTGGGAATGTCCCCACCAGCAGCTGCCCCTACAGCTCGGCATCGACCTCACCACCACCACAGAAGAGGTGGTATGCGGATGGCCGCTCAATTGTCAAGGGAAATGGCCACCATGACTGCAAACTTGAGGGACATTGCTAGTTAAAACATGGCCATGAGAGAACTTATAGCCCAAATGCAGAGCCAGTGAGGCTTCCCCAATCCTCCCTATGCCCCCCAAGAACATTACGACCAAGATGAGGAAGTTCAAAGTCAAATGACTGTACCGGCAAAATACAGCCAAGGTAGGAGCCCCATGGAGAGGGAAATAGAAGTTGATGTTTCCTCCAATTATGCTGTTGGCCGACCCACCGAGGCCCGGCATAACCAGGACAACTTTCCACCAACATATGAGCCAGAACAAAGACCTTGGAGGTCTAATAGCGTCTTTGACAGAATTAGCCCCGCAGTACTGAGGCACAGGCAACAATAACAACAATGTGAGCCTCGGAATAGACCACAACCCCCCACATCCAATGTTTCATCAGCCAAAGGAAAGGCATGAGAATGCCCTCCGTGCTGCTCCGCCTATAAATAGACGCCAAAGGAGGGAAGAGGAGGCTAGGACCCTCTCACCAAATACCCAGGTATGAAGTCGAGGAAAATAATGACTCAGATGAGCAGTAGAGGTCCTGTGACTTGGACGATGACGATGAAAATCTGTCATTCTCAAGGGAACTAAGAAATGCCCAGGCTCTGAGCCACTATGTGATGCCCAAGATACCAAAGTATGACGGGAGAGGCGACCCGGAGAAATACTTAACCGCTTATAAAACTCATATGAGCCTTAGAGGCGCCACCCCAGCCGTGAAATTTAGAGCTTTTCATTTAACACTTAGTGGAGCGGCTGAAATCTGGTATAGTCGATTGCCGTCTGGGAGCATAAGGAGATAACTGGAATTCAAGACCACTTTCGTAAAGAGGTTTGCAGTGAGCAAGGAGGGAGTGACCCCCATCCAGCGTCTTCAATACATGAGGCAGGCACATGAGGAATCCGTGAAAAGCTTTTTATCACGTCTTACTAACGAAATGACGTATTGAGTGCAAGTTACCGATCGTGAAGCTTTGTCAGCCTTAAGAAGAGGTCTGAATGTTCTGGAGGGACGTGCAAAACTAAGATCCCACCACCTATGACGCCATGTTGGAAACGATGAGGCGGGAGATTAATAAAGAATTAATTGAGTACCAAAATCGGGCCAGCAGAGGCCTCCCACCTCAATAAAGACAGCGCGCTAGGGACCGACCTCCCATCTAATGGATTACTAGATGAACTCACTTGGTGGTGAAAATTTAGGGCAAGCACTTGCCACTACCACTTTGAACGCAGTTCCAACCTTGGCATATGAATATGTCAATCCAACAACTACTAACCCGCAAGCAGGGACTTCACAACAGGCCCCCATAGAGGAAGAGGCTGGGGGTGCGGTTCAGGACCAAGGAATAGGCCTAATCAGAACCCCCCCGATTATTGTACGTACCACCGCTCCTACGATCATGACACGTCAGAGTGTCGAGAGTACGCATACCGCAATCGACGGAAAAATCCCCAAGACAGGAGGAATGATTTGCCGCACGCGAACAGGCCGCGCCTGGGAACGACCAGCGACCTAGGCATGAGGAGGCTGCTCCCCACCAGTGATATGTCTCCCCCCACCGAAGGGAACATGTCGTGGATAGAACTAGGGAAGGACACAGGCATCGGGGGAACCGCCATGCACGAGAAGAGGCCCCTATTCAAAAAATATACACCATATTTGGAGGCCCCTACGTGGGAGGGAAAACTCGGAACGCAAAACGAAATTACGTCTGAGAGGCCAAACGCCTCACACTGACCAGTTATATTGTATACAGTAGCTCCTGAAGAAACTAAGTACCATCCATCGTCTTCACCCATGAGGACTCTGAAGGAGTTCACTACCCC